GGTGCCCATCTCCTCGTGCCCCAGAGAGGGCAGTTTCTGGAGCTGTGGTCTCTATCTGTCCCATACAGTCAGGTGCCTCCAGTCCCACCCTGTCCTCCCTCCCCTTCCTCCTGTAGGATTAACTCTTCAAAGCATTTTTTGGATTCTCGAGGTGGATTTTGTTCACTGAGCCCTTTGTTCTCAATTGCGCCCTGCCTGCAGCCCTGCCTGGAGACCTGCCTGAGCAGCCCAGCTGCTGTGCTGGGGCTGCCAACTCCCGTTCACCCAAGGGCTGTCCCCTTCCCTGCCAGTAAGGACCAGAGCGGCAGCTTTCCGGAGCTAAAAATTACTTGCCAAGTGATGCCGTGACACTGCCAGCATGCCCGTCAGCTGGTCCACATCCCCCGCAAGCACCATCCAATTTTTTTATGCAGTGTTTTTATACATGTAAGCCTGGAAGTAATCAAGAGGTGCCTTTTCTCCATCCCCAAGCAGGGGTGATGGATGCTAGGGGTACGAGAGACTCGGTTCAAGCCCTGGACTGAACGTGATGCCCCTATATTACAAGTGCCCTATGCAGTGGGGTGGCCCGACACAGACCAAGAATTTGGCTCAGCACTAGAATATCTGAAGGATCTTGAGTGTGTAAAATAGGTGTCCCTCCTGGGACAGGACAAGGGACTGTGGGGCTGCTGCCCTGAGACAGGTCCCATCCCCACGTCTGCTCTGTCTGCCATCGGAAGCCCTGCCCTGGCCGGGGCTGCCAGCGGAGGAATGCCTACGGCTCTTTCAACAGCCCGTCTCCAGCTGTCTCCAGTTTCAGTTCTCAAAACAAAATCTGTGGTCTCCAGTGGGGACTCTGCTGTTTGCTTCCCGGGGCACCACCGGCTCCTCTGCTCGGGGCGTTTGTGGCATGCGGCCCTGGGTGTGCGGCCAGCAGAGTCCTTGAAGCTGCTCTGTACAAACAGTCTGTTATCGGGTTGCGGTTCCCAGGGCCGTAACAGCTGCTCCCTTGTGCTGCAGCCAAATGCCTCATCCTGGGGCAGCCACCTTCCCCCAGCCCCTCCGTCACACTCTCACCAATCACACGTTGGTGAGAATTTAGTGCTAGTGGAAATTTAAATCTCAATGGTCTAATTACAGAATCCTTACTAGATCTAAATGTTACAGAAAAAGTATATATTGCTACAGAAAAAGTTTCAACAATAATATATGTAACACTTGATTTATGTATGTTGAGTAACTGCTCGTTGCTACCCCTGAAATCAGTTTTGCCCAACTCCCCAGTTGGTGTTTCTTTATCTGGCAGTAAGTGGCCACCAGTTGTGTGACTGCAGGGTTTAAAGCCCTGGTGTCCTCAAGATGATCCTGCACGTCTCTCATCCAGTGCCCACACTCTTTTCTAACTGCACCTGTACACCGTGGCTGTACGCACTTCATGCTACGCAGAGCGGCTTTTGAATGCTCTGATTACAAAAGCTGTATCGCACAACTACACAGCGTTAAGCAAAAGTAAAACAAATTAAGCAACAACTGTCTCATCATTAGAAAACTGCTGGTACAGTTACACAAGCTAAAACAGACGGAGCCTGATGGTGGTAGTGTTGAACCCTGTGAACGTGGTCCTGCTGCGGGAGGATGCTCGTAGCTGTAAATTGGTGGTTTCACATCCAGAATTGGGAAGTTTTGTGGGGAGGAGTCGGCATCATCCCTGTTTATAGGAAGTGCCTTGTTGTGACTGCTGATGCAGGGTCCTGCAACACGCACTTGGCACGGCGCAGCGCCCAGGAGAGTGGGGCTGAAGCTGGCTGGGCTGCAGCTCGTGTTCCCCGCGGGTGCCCGGAGCAGGACGGCTGCCCGGATCTCAACCTCCTCCTCACATCTGCCGATAGCAGTGGCTCACCAGGACACTGCCACTAACCAGCCTGTGGTTTCTTTTGGTGTTTCAGGGTCTTCTTCCACAGCCTCCTAGTGAACGCCCAAGATGCAGGCAGACTCCCTTCTTCACAGCGGCTACTTCCACCCTCTGCTACGCTCCTGGCAGTGTACAGCAACCACCTTTGATGCCTCCAACCTCATCTACCCTATTTTTGTCACGTGAGTGAGCCCTGGCTCTCTGGGTTAGGGATGGACTACGCTCAGGTTGACTGACTTAGGTGCTCCCTGAGCTCTTAGACAGACAGGTTCAGACTCCCCAAAAGATTCCCTGCGGGAAACCCTGCCTGGGGTAGGGGCTTCCTTCTCACACCACGTCCTCACATCTCTTCCCATCCACCTCCTGCAGTGACAGCCCTGATGCAGTGGAGCTGATCCCCAGCCTGCCTGGACAAGCCAGGTAAGAACTCAACCCCCTCCAAGCTGTGTGCCAGTCGCTGCTGTGCCCCATGCCCAAGCAGGGTTGATGTATGGCCTGGGGTGATGACATGAGTGTGGGCAAGGGGTGACGCTTCCAAACTCTGTGGTCCCTGCCTTGGGCATCCCCCAGGATCAGGTAGGGCAGGAGCATTCGTCCACCATGGAAGCGGAGGGAATTGTACCGGGGATGATGGGAAAGTACCAGTACTGGCAGGGATAGTGCCAGGGTCTTGTCATGTCCCAACCCGCTTGCACATTGTATGGGCTGGGCCCACAGGGAAGCTGGAAGGGAACGGGGTTTCCAGCAGCAGCTAGAAAACCCGTGCAAGGACATGGGCTCTGGTCCTGCATTAGATCTGGCTGGACTGGCAGCTCCCATCTTCATCTGCTGCTGCATTAGCAGGGCTGTGGTCAGAGAGGCCCCAGGGGGAAGGTCCTGTGGGGAGGTGGGCTGGATCCGCAACAGGGAAGCCAAGATAAGGGATCCAAGGGCAGGGCATGCTCGTCCTTTCAGAGCAGAGTGTCCATGCCGGGTAGATAACGCTCCTGTAGCCCTAGATAAGGTCCTGGATTGTTCCTCCCAGCATTCAGGAAACACCTCCCCTGTACCTCCAGCTGCTGCTTGGTGTGGATGCTTGTGGATGCTGGATTGCTCACAGCCCAGCTCGCCCCACAGAGCAGGTCTGGGTGCCTGGCAGCTCCCTCGGCTTTGCTCTTCTCAGGTACGGAGTCAACAAGCTGGAGGGGATGCTGCGTCCCCTCATCGAGGATGGTCTGAAGTGTGTGCTCATCTTTGGGGTGCCCAGCAAGGTCCACAAGGTCAGTGTGCGTGGTAGTGGCAGGTGGCTTGGGGTAGCCACAGGGGTGTTGGGAGACCATGTGGGGCTGAGAGTCTCCTGATCAAACAGGGCCTGTTCAAGGTCTCTGGGCTTGCACCCTGCTCAGCAGAGCAGGACAGGGATGGGAGACTGTAGCAACACTCAAAAAGCTCCCAGAGATCTCGCGGGTGGCCAAGACCTGCACTCACTTCTCAGAGGCACTGCTCTGTCACTCTTTTCGATCATTGGTGGTCACACTGCTCTGCATTACACGGTCTCAAGGTTCAGAGAATGTTTCCTGGGCACAATTGCTGCCACGGAGGAGCTGGTGGGAAGCTCTTGGCTTTGTGTGCTGAAGCATTTCTCTTCTCACAGGATGACAGAGGCTCTGCTGCTGACGCAGAGGACACACCTGCCATCCAGGCAATCAAGAAGATCCGCTCCACCTTCCCAGAGCTGCTCATAGCCTGTGATGTCTGCTTGTGCCCTTACACCTCACACGGGCACTGTGGTGAGTGCACAGCCTGGGGTCCCGGGCTGCTCTTTGGGCACCTTCCCGGGACTAAGAGTCTCTGGGGGGTTTGCTGTTTTCTGCTGAGGAGCTCTGGGTGCTGGTGGGGCATGGCCAGCTCCTGCCCCAAGACTGGGCTCCCTGGTACCGGTACAGTTGAGCCTGGGAGACCTCTCCTGGGTTTTGAGAGCAGGGTGGGAGGCACAGGTGGTTAAATCACCCACTCCCTGGCCATCTGTATCTGTCTGAGCGCCCATCTGTGTACCCCATCTCTGTCTTCCCTTCCCTGGAGCAGCCATGTGTTGTGTCCAGTCCCTGGAGGGCTGCGCCTGCGTCTCCTCGTCCTCCCCTTCTTATCCAGCTCTCTAACACGTTCCCCACTGTTGCCCTGAGCATCTCTATAGCGAGACCCATGCTCCCACCCTAGGGATCGAGGCAGTCATGTGGCTGGCCCCTCATCTAACCCCGGGTTTGTCTCCTAGGCATCCTGCGTGAAGACGGCACCATCCAGAACGAGATCAGCTGCCAGCGGCTGGCAGAAGTGGCGCTGGCCTACGCCAAAGCAGGTGAGGAATGTCCTGGCAGCAGTACCCAAGTCTGACGCTCACAGACTCACCCCCTCTCACTTCCAGCAGGCCCCAAAGCAAACTGGGCCCAGCTCCAGCTGGGAGTGCTTTTGCTCTGAGCTGGAGGTTCCAGCTGCCCCTGCCCTCCACATGCTGGCCCTGGCGGAGCTGCAGGCACCCGCGGCCCCTTTGGCTCTGGGGTCACCTCCTCCTGCTGGCAGAGTCACAGCCTCGGGCACTTCCCAGCATCTCTGGTCTTTCCCTGCAGGCTGCCACATCGTTGCCCCCTCAGATATGATGGATGGGCGCATCGCAGCCATGAAGAAGGCGCTGATCTCTAATGACCTGGGCAACAAGGTGAGCTCAGGATCTGTGTGTGCCAAAGGCAGGAGCCATGTCTAAAAGGGAAGCTGCACTGGGACGTGCCACAGGCATTTCCCTGCCCTGGTGCACACAGGAAGGGAATGTCCTTGTCTGGACATGGAGACAGTGAGGTGTCAGGCCTCTGGCAGGGGAAGGAGGATGTGGGGCAGAGTATAAAACAGCTGGGGGAGGGAATCACTACGGCCCCAGTGCGAGGATGCATCCCAAGCTTTAGGCGCTCACGGCTCTGTTCTCCTCTGCAGGTCTCAGTGATGAGCTACAGTGCCAAGTTTGCTTCATGCTTCTATGGTCCCTTCAGGTGGGTCTGTCCCTCAGCCGGGAGCGTCCCCAGCCAGCACCAGGAGGTGTATCCCTAGATAGTTATTTGGGAACAGGGCTCAGCCAGAGCCTGGGCCACAGCTGGGGCCACACTGGTCGCTTAGGAGCGCTCTCCTCCTACTTCCTGGTGCAAAAAGGAGACAAACGCACGTTGCCCATGGGAGGCTGGCTGGTGGGAAGATCACCTGTGTGATCTTTCATCCCATCCCTTCACCTGCTCATTCTGGGTGCTGGTGGCAATGCAGGCAGGGAGGGAGCTACCAGGAGCAGTGAGAAGGGGAGTTGCAGGAGCCTGTGTTGCCCCAAAGTGTGGCTTTAGGGACAAGCCTCAGCTCAATCAGCTATTAGACCTAGTCCCAAGAACAGCCTGACCGTGACAGGGCATTCCCGAGGGACACGCCTTGCAACAGAGCAAAA